CTACTATTCACATTATCAGCTGGTTTTGATATGGGGGTAGTGGTTGATGCGTTGTTGGGTGCTGTTGTTTCTGTGGACATTACAAATTATCTGATTGTATGAAGGGGCAAGAAAAAGGTGAAAACTTTTTTCGTTATTCTTCTTTCTTCTGACGGATTTTCTTGATAGGTTTTGTGAAAAGAAAAAAAAAAAAGTGACCAAGGCTGACACAGATGGTGGTGGCGGTCAAAAGATTTATGAGAACCCCTTTTTTTTTTTTTTACAAAATAAAACCTTTGTATATATATAAATATATATAAAAGTCTATGTATAAATATTCTGTTATTTGTGAATGATTAATAATCGAAATCATCCATAACGCAACCGTCGGTTGAGTTACTGCGTTTTTCTCCGTCCTCGCGCGTATACGTATTTCGTGCTGCTTTCGAAAATATAAAGTCTCGCTGAGATTGTGTGAGAACGTTCAGGGAGGAAACGGCGGGAGATGTTGAGTTGAAAGAGAATTGTGTTGTTGAAGGTTATATCAATTTATTTATTTATTTGATTCTCTTTTTTTTTTTTTTTTTGTGTGTTGAAATAAACAGGTTTTGTTTATTTTCGGGTTCGGGGTTTGAGTCGTGGTAGGCCTTTACTTTTATATATTTACCTACACACTATAGACATGTTAAATAATAATTTATGTTTCTACTTTAAAAAAAAAAAAAAAAAAAAAAAAAATTCTATTTTTCTATTTTAGACACGGTATACTACTAATTTGTCTACTTTATAAAAAAAAATTTTTTTTTCTTTTTTTTTTTTTGTGTATTCGAGGAGGGATAAGGAATTAATATTGAGGTGTGTGTGAATGTGGGTGGGTATAACAGGAGAAGAAGACTGCGTGCCGACGAGGAGGTCAACACAAAAAAAAATAAATAGGTGAAGGGGAAGGGAGAGGGGGAGGAAATATTTGAGTGCGGTACGGTAACGTATATATGTGTGTATAACGGACGGTTGTGATAAGATTATTTATATACAACGGTGATATAAGGATAAAATAACCATATTGATTTCATTTTAACTCTTTATTTTTAAAAAAAGAAATGTGAACAACAACAACACACTACACACAGCCAGGAAATTATCAAATGAGGAAATGGTAACTGTCGATGCGATGTGATGGCGCTGCCAATTAGAATAATCAAAGAGTACGCATATCAGGTAACTTATACAAGCAATGTATGGTGGCAAATAATCACATAAATGCGCATTTTTCGAAACCATTATTATTTTTAATGAGGTCGTGCAAATCGAAACACATTGATTTACAATTTACAGTAAAATATACAGGTGTGACTAATATTTGACAGATTGATTAATTTTCTTTATTGCGTACATTTGTTTCAATTATTATTTACATACCAGTGCACAAAGGTTCCGAATGAAAATATTTGTACGGTGATGATCCAGTCAGCTGGTCCAGATTAAGGGAGAAAGAGAGATCAGGTGAAGATTATGAGTGTGTTCAAGTGACGGTGACCCTGGGTAATGTGCGCACGTAATTGAATGTGCACGAAATCGCCAACCAACTTCAATTTCCTCAAGCGACATGAAGAAAAGGCGACGATGAGAGAGATAAGGATAAAAGAGAAGCATCGACTGTGAGTAGGTGATGCAAATCTATTAAGAGTAATAAGGCGACACGCATACACAGAAAGAAAATGCATTAAATGCGCTAACGCGTCTATCTTGCTGCATATCGATATACGTAATCTTGATAATCGTGACAAGAGATCTACGCATGAAACTCTTATGACGTATCGCAGCTCGCAATGAGTGATAAATAACCTCCTGGGACATAAGTTCGTTGTCAATATTCCTGCAATGCACATTTGAAGAGAAAACGAGTCTCATGTAACGATTGATCGAACGACAGACATTTGTCTTTGATGATGCGTTAACTAGGAACCGGAACGCACAGCTCCGTGATTTATCAAAACTATGCGCATTGGAGGCCAGAAGATTAATAACGCTCCAAATTCACCGGAATGAATCAAGAATATTAAGGTGGATGTGCACGATTACTTGACGCCTGCCGCCTGGTATTACCTTTTTTTTTCTTTGGATTCATGCAAAGGTACAAAATAAGACTGTTTGTCCAAACACTCTGGCGAATGGTCACCAAAAATGTCGTGCATACATCTAACGATATGTCATAAATAAAAAACACATTTCCAAAAAGTTAATAACACAGCCTCCAAAACTTGCACACGTCTTCTAAACTTTTTCTTTTTGTTCATTGTAGACGCCTTTTTTGGTATGGCGAGTAAACACCGGGTAAACAACAAACCTTTACTGTCGAATACCATTTCATAATTTCATACTCATGCGTGCGAAACAACCTACGGGCGTTCAGGTGCTTTATTATATTAACACCACTTTACATGCATTGAATAAACGCAGGCATCAATGCTCGCCAGCGTTAAAATGGAAATCAGATGTATTTTTCAAACATTCCTCGATCAAGTGAACGCGTTTAGGCGGGATCGGGGCATCACGCACATTGCCAAAGTTCTCGTTCAATTAATTGGAGGACATCAATCGACAGAACCTTAAAAAAGTCTTTCTTTTACCTCCAAGAGGGAAATGGATAGAGATTCATTCGATTTTATTTATTTAGCGATCATCCAATTAAAACAACTTTCATATCACTTCATTTTGTTTATTGGAAAAACCGTTATGTTGCGCATCGGACAGATTAAACATTGGCTTTACATCTTAAGCTTTGTATCACCATATTCGGCAACGTACAGTATCTTGCTGAGTTGCTGGGACGAGAATGGTCAATATATAGTGATCGCTCAACCACTCGCATGCACAGAAAAGGAAGTGACATTAATGGTAAGGGCAAAAAAGTTCGGAATAATGGAAGTTTAACAATGAATTGTTTCAAGCACGCTACTCATTGCTTCCATTAAAATATAAACAAACTTGTTTAGGCCGAACCTGTTAAGAATCAGGTAATTAACCAATTGACATTGGGCATCCATGTAAAGAGACGGGGCTAAAGTTGCTGAAATCTTGTGCAAACGATTGCAATATGAAGATTAAGCAAATTTAAGACACCGAATGTGGATAACGTAATCACCAAAGAGACAGACCACCACATCTACCATATACTGTATGCAAGAAATCATAACCTCGGGTAACTGCGTGAACATACAGTATACGTGTGTACGAGGAGAACGACGTAACGTAGTAGACTGCATACGGTAAACAAAAGATAAATAAATAAACAAACAGATAACCCAAATTGAATACAGATATCAAAAACAAGAAATCAGGTTGTCAGCACGGTGTTAAATATCGACTTCACTTATTTCCCTCGGGTAAATCGAGGTCATCGTCTGATAGTCAAGGAATTTCACATGATTACATTGCGCACAGTAAGTAATTGACTGACCTTCACCATACCCATACTAACCTTATCGCCATGGGCATATGATCACGCGTACTGGTATCGGTGGCTGCGTCTATTAGTAATTAAGTGACCAGAGCGAGCAATCAACTAACTTAAATCCATAATCTTACTCTTTAACAATTAATTAGTGCTCACCGAGGTTAAGTAGTTTACTTACGTAACACTTTAGAGTTTCCGTTCAACCAATCGTTTGTTTTTGTTTATCATATGTTTACCCACTGCATTCTGCTGACCAGCAAATCAGAGAACAAAGGGGAAAACCGAAGGGTATTATTCAGAAAAAAAAATTGTGACATCTTTTTCTTTCATTATCTTTCACAATATGACCATTTTATCAACATCGTGTTACCCACACTCACCTCCTCCATTACACAAAGGAAATATAATGTTGGGCGTGACGATTGGTTGGACAAAGTGTGGGTAAATGAACACGAATGTGCTATCTTTGGAATCACCGAGTTCCCGCCATTTAATTAAAGGAGAAGCGACGGTTGGGTTGACCCAATGGGTGTCCAAGAATTCTTTCTTTTCGTCATGACTTTGTATGAGAATCACATGATCTTTTTAGATAATCAACCTCGCGATTATTTCAAAGTCGAACTTTAAACTTTATTCTACTTCTTCAGATGGTTCCCACAACGTTTCGTACGACATTGATTCGCGGTAGAATTTTGAGGAGAATGAAAGGATTACACAAATTGTTCGAAAAAAAAATATAGTTTAAATAACCGAATTCAGGGGAAACGGTTGGGGAAGGTGTACATGTGGTATCCGGGAAGGTGCCCAGTAGTAACATTCATTGCCGAGTATTACCTAGTATAATTCATGACACAATAATTCACTCACTACGCATAACATGTTGCGCTTTCTCCGAACCTTTTGTATCGCCATGCGTATCGTGCGCGCGTGGGAATTTGCGGTACGCGATCGGTCAAATGCTTGTGAGAAGAATCAAAGAAAGAGTTACATGCAAAAGATTCGCAATCTTATTTAATTAATCTTGGCACAGTAATAATATGAATACGGCTGAACTTTACAGGAAAACCGCTTCCATATGAGCCCGCACTCCCGTTGGTGCATGACAGTACATGATACAGTGTGTGGCGGGCGGGCGGTCGATTTTGATCGATCGGTATATGTTTGTTCCGTCGAATTACGTGGCAGCACATAATAAAACCATACTTGTCATTCGTCTTTTTTTTCTTGCTCACGGTTTCGTTAGGGGTGACCCAAGAAAGAAAAATCGGGAGCCAAGAATCCAGAGGCCAAACAAATCAGTCGACTAACCGCTTTTGTATATATCGTAATAAAGGAGGATAGCACACAGCACGCGCCCAAATAATTCATTGATGACAGTCGTATATGGTGCGACCAGGTAAATAATAATTTCATCCAAAATTAATAATAATATTTAATAAATATTTGCTTGCTAAGAATCGAGGCACGCATTCTAGATAAAAAAGGTGAGAGAGAAACGTGAATTTGACTACGTAATGTGTGATACTTGTGCGGTGGAAGTTAATGTTCTCTTGTTTCACAACGTCTAAGAATGTGAATACGTATTTTGACTTTCGTGGTACTTTTTGTCCCATACTGGTAACATTTCAGGATAATCTATGCATACTCCACACGTACCTTGCTCTACATACATCCTTTTCCGAAAAGGAATTAAAAAAATGGGTTATCGATGAATCTCAGCTCAGCACAATAAGCATAAAAAAAACCCATGAGCTACGGTTTCCCATGTTCTTTCATTTGCCTGCACGGATTAGTAATGTCTGATGGCAACCTAAGAATGAGATAGAATTGCGTGATCGTTTAACCTTAAGGTATTTAATTGGATGGAAAGAGGGAAGGAAAGAACAAAGATTCCGTAAAGATTCACCGAAAAGGATAACCGTTGTGAAGTCACGTGCCGAGAATTCTCATATGATGCAGTTTTTGACAAGTGTGATAGGCATGTATCAAAAAATCTCGATTGGGTACAAACAGTATGAATGTTAATGAATTTTAATTTCCTTTATCAACTAAATTTGGTGTTCATCAATATGTTACATGAACCATGATACATTAGCGGATTTGTGCTCCATTGTTCTTTGACACAGAGTACCTATCACACTTTGAGATGAAGGCACCTATCACCTACCTTTTCAGCCAAGAATTGTGCGACTCCGAATGAAGAAGGTCAAAAAGAGTACTGCCAGAGGTTGACTCTCGCCTATGAGACTCACACGGACCCACATCACGAAAGCGATTGACATCCATTAATGGCTCACAAAGGTATCGCCACAAATCTCTCCAAAGTCGAAGACTGAACACCACACCGAGAAAGGTCTTTGTTGAAGTGAAACTATCGCTGTCCGTTGAATTCGTGCGAATAGTGTTTTTTCGTGCGTGCATCATTAATATCGGGTTCGTCCTGCCCTGCTTCATTATACACGGTTCGTGACGTTATCCTCCCTCCCCTGATTTACGTGTCATTTTCTTAATCGAGATCAATCTTATTAATTTCTCCTCACGGATGCATACTCTTTTTTTTTTCACCTCCTTGTCTTGCGGATCCTGTAATGCACCAAATATACGTATGCACCGTATATTCTTGTTGAAGGTGGTCTCTGGCAGTACTGAGGTGATGATTGAGAGAATTGCATTCCATTGTTCGTTCATTTCTTTCTTTCTCTCTTTCTTCCTTTCATTCATTTCATTTCATTTTTCCTTTGTCGCATGGAACATCATCGCCTTCTTCCCCTCGTGTACGAGAATTAGGTCGTCTGGAACTTTCTCGGAGGTTGGCGATTGGGCGTAAAAACTTTTGGCAAAGGGCGTAATTTAAAATGCAAGAAAAACGTGACACCCAAAGTACAGATTTGGTTTAGAACAGCCGAAATTTAAGGTTTGATGGCGATATTAAGAAAATCCATTCAGTTTCTTTTTGTAGAGAAGACAATGAAAAAACAGCGATCCAAGCATCCATCTTCTCAAGATTCAAACTCTGACAGCGCTTCTCAACAAAACACCCGCATCATCATCTGTTTCTCCTTATGGCAATTCACGAAATCAGCCGACAAGCTGAATCCTCTTCTATTATTATTATTATTATTATTATTATTATTATTATTATCACCACAGTACCTGTTACCACCAAATGTTTTACCAAACTTTGCGACGCCAAAATCAAAGAAAAGAAATTTACTGCGTCTGATACGTAAACAATTACCATTCTCGGGAAGTGCAATTTCGGTTAACGCAATGGCAGTGGCAACAGTGGTAAGTTAAGTTGGTGAGACCGAGATTATGATGTGTACAGGTTTGTTTACACTTCACCTTTCAACGAGAAAAAATATGTCCGGTATATGTCCGAGTGTACCTTTTATGTACACGTATACTGTATGTATTGGCGTATCGAATTTGCGATGTTTAATCAGAGGGATGAAATAAATAAATAAAGATGTACGTACTGTACGTGCGGTCGGTACATATTCTCGTTAGAGTACGATTTGATAGCGTCGTCTCGTCTCGTCTCGTCTCGTGTCCGACCGAAAAGCTCGCTACACTAAAAGCAACGATGTTTGTTTTGAATCGACCCAAATTCGGTTAATAATTCCCGAGATCCGATGGGGAATTTTTTTGAGAAAACTGTATTCTGATACTAATTTGGCGCAATAGCGATGTCAAAAAGATCTCATTATTCATTGTGACTACTTATTTCATTATTCGAGATGATGGTTGAATAATGCCCAAAATAGATAAATGGTGTTTACGTAATACTCGAGAATGTGATGATCTGAGAATAAAGTGTATTACGGTGATATGACGTTTGTCGATATGGGCATGGCTGGAGATTATTACCTAAACACACAGGGTTCTCTTTGCATTCGCTCTAACCAATTGCACAGGTTTTTCCAGGAATGAAATTATGTCAACGACAATTATTACTATAATGCACGTTCAACTTTTGCGCTGCTTTCCCGCTAGGCAAGATGATGTCATTGTTCGAAAGAGACACGACGGTGGTACAGTCTCACACAAACAACCTAAATTAAATCTCGAATAGGAAGGTGAACACGCACATTGAGCGGCATCATGTGGTAGTCACGATAGGAGAAAACCGAGTGAACAAATGATGCTGACAAGAAAAAAAAAAAAAGGTAATACCAGGCGGCAGGCGTCAATGTAATCGTGCACATCCGCCTTAATATTCTTGATTCATTCCGGTGAATTTGGACCGCTATGAGGAGCGATATTAATCTTCTGGCCTCCAATGCACATCGTCTTGATAAATCACAGATCTGTGCGCTCCGTTCCTGGTTAACGCATCATCATCAAGGTCAAATCTCGTTCAATCAATCGTTGCACGAGACTCGTTTTCCTCTTCAAAATGTGCATTGCAGGGATAGGCAAAGTTATTGACAACGAACTTATGTCCCAGGAGGTTATTATCACTCACTGCGAGATGCGATACGTCATAAGAGTTTCATGCGTAGATCTCTTGTAACGATTATCAAGATTACGTATATCGATATGCAGCAAGATATACGCGTTAGCGCATTTAATGCATTTTCTTTCTGTGTATGCGTGTCGCCTTATTACTCTTATCGGATTTGCTTCACCTACTCACAGTCGATGCTTCTCTTTATTCCTTATCTCTCTCATCGTCGCCATTTCTTCGTGTCGCTTGAGGAAATTGAGGTCGGTGGGTGATTTCGTGCACATCCAATTACGTGCGCACATTACCCAGGGTCACCGTCACTTGAACACATTTCATAATCTTCACCTGATCTCTCTTTCTCCCTTAATCTGGACCAGCTGACTGGATCATCACCGCACAAATATTTTCATTCGGAACCTTTGTGCGCTGGTATATAAATAATAATTGAAACAGATGTACGCAATAAAGAAAATTAATCAATCTGTCAAATATTAGTCACACACCTGTATATTCTACTGTAAATTGCAAATCAATGTGTTTTTCGATTTGCACGACCTCATTAAAAATAATAATGGTTTCGAAAAATGCGCATTTATGTGATTATTTGCCACCATACATTGCTTGTATAAGTTACCTGTTATGCGTACTCTAGATTATTCTAATTGGCAGCGCCATCACATCGCATCGACAGTTAACATTTCCTCATTTGATAATTACTTGGCTGTGTGTAGTGTGTTGTTGTTCACATTTCTTTTTAAAAATAAAAGAGTTAAAATGAAATCAATATGGTTATTTTATATCCTTATACCACCATTGTATATATTTAATCTTATCACAACCGTCCGTTATACACACATATATACGTTACCGTACCGCACTCAAATATTTCCTCCCCCCTTCCCCTTCCACCTATTCTTTTTTTTTTTGTGTGTTGACCTCCTCGTCGGCACGCAGTCTTCTTCTCCTGTTATACTCACATTCACACACTTCAATATTAATTCCTTATCCCTCCTCGAACACAAAAAAAAAAAAAAAAATTTTTTTTAAAGTAGACAAATTAGTAATATACCGTGTCGAAAATAGAAAAATAGAATTTTTTTTTTTTTTTAAAGTAGAAACATAAATTATTATTTAACATGTCTATAGTGTGTAGGTAAATATATATAAATTACTCTGAAAAGTAAAGGCCCACCACGACTCAAACCCCGAACCGAAAATAAACAAAACCTGTTTATTTCAATAACACACTCAAAAAAAAAAAAAAAAAAAAAAAAAAAGAGAATCAAATAAATAAATAAATTGATATAATCCTCACAACACAATTACAATTTCTCTTTCAACTCAACACCTCCCGCCGTTTCCTCTCTGAACGTTCCCACAATCTCAGCGAGACATTATTTTCGAAAGCAGCACGAAATACGTATACGCGAGGACGGAGAAAAACGCAGTAACTCAACCGACGGTTGCGTTATGGAGGATTTCGATTATTAATTATTACAAATAACAGAATATTTTTTTATAATATATACATATATATACATACATAGATTTTATCTTGTAAAAAAAAAAAAAAGGGCTCTCATAAAAATCTTTTGACCGCCACCACCATCTGTGTCAGCCTTGGTCACTTTTTTTTCTTTTCACAAAACCTATCAAGAAAATCCGTCAGAAGAATAACGAAAAAAGCTTTCACCTTTTTCTTGCTCCCTTAATACAATCAGATAATTCGAAATGTCCACAGAAACAACAGCACCCAACAACGCATCAATCACTGCCCCCATATCAAAACCAGCTGATAATTTGAATAGTAGTGAATATCAGAGTTCCTATTCCTGGAAGTTGCCAATGGTTCAGGTTAATCGACCGAAGGAACGTACAGTCACCGAATATCAACGAGAATTCACATGGAAGGAACCGCCCACCGTATCAACACCTTCACCAACGCCCGCTGTCGTTAATCCTACTAATCCACCCGAGACATTACCAACATCAAGAAGTACTCCACAACCCACAGTAGTTGAAAGGCTGGCCGATACTACAAAAACTGACATTCCAACAACGATTAAAACTCCCGAACTAAGACGTCTGGACCTACCTCCGACACCAACTCCACCACCCATCACTGATGTGGGTTTGCTGAGACACAATGGTGACTTTGTGGGAGAACCCGAGGAGTCGTATAACGCGGAAAAATCTTTCTCGAATTCAGATGTCTTGAAATGGAAGGATGGTCTGAGAAAAGATAACGGGACAGAGGTATGTGTGTGTGTGATTCATATTTTCATATTTCACTTCCGTAAATGTCAAGTTTCACGATCAGAATGATTTTTTGCTCCGTGAACTTAACTCTCGGTCATTGCAATATTACACCTTACCTTATTTATGATCTCATTCAATCATAATACATTCATTATTCCCATTTGTTTGTTACATTGTCCATCATTGGCCCTCCCCAAAACAATATCAATGGAAATCTGACATTGTTCTGATTTTTTATATTTAGCAAAAGCAATCAACGCTGGCCTCAAGTTTAGATCCCCGAGCAAAAAAGATTGTTGCGCTGGAAGCCAGTCGTCTGTCGAAAAAATCCCGTTCATATTCCATGTATTCTCTGGCTGACCAACTGAAGACAATGGAAATCGCACGAGATCTATCGAACCCGATGGAATCCGAGTACAAACAACAATTCATTGATTGGCAAGGGTATAATCGTGTGGAAAGGGATGGGCATCCGGAGAACGGTCACTCTTTGAGACGCAGAGGTTCGTGGTCATCTTCGCTGCCGGCTCCTCTCAAGTGGATGGAGGGCTTGGATCTTGATGATCCGTTGTCACGTGAATCAAGAAGGCTTAAACCAACGGTCACCGATGCAAATTCAATAAGAGCCAATCCCAAGCGACCCACCACCTCCGCGGACTTCCGTGACTACGGTAGTCTCGATGCTGATTATGCCTCATCAACAACCATCAAATCCAACAAGCAATCTGACCAAGACTACTACACCGTTGACGCTCCTCGTCCTTTGCACAGGGCGAAGAGTAGTGTGGACTTGTCAAGGTCAAAAAGTCTCGGTGGGAGTCCCTTGCGTCATTCGGTTGTGTCGAATAATCTCGACGAGCGTGATCTAGTCAATAATCAACCCGAGCCGGTGGACGCGCGTCGACGCGATTTTGAAAAAGAATCGCGTAACCGTTCCACATATATCGATGATCGCAGACACGGTTACGAACATCTATACGACAACAATCGAAGAGGTGATAGCGTCTATGATGAGATGAGACGAGATGGCGTGTATGATGAAAGGAGACGAGATGCGTATGATGAAAAGAGACGAGATGGCGTGTATGACGAAAGGAGGCGGGACAATGCATACGATGAAAGGAGACGAAATGATGAATATGATGAAAGGAGGCGAGATAATGCTTACGATGATAAAAGGCGAGATAATGCTTACGATGATAAAAGGCGAGATAATGGTATGCGCGATGAAAGGGGAAGAGACAGTGTTTACGATAATAAGAGGCGAGATGGTGTAAATGATGAAAGGAGGCGAGATAACTTTTATGATGAAAGGGCGCGAGACGGCGTCTACGATGAGAAGAGAAGAGGTCATTTCTACGATGAAAAGAGGCGAGATCATGTGTATGATGAATATTATGACGGTAATGGTAGCGGTAGGATGGATTACGACAGACGACGTGATGATAGACAAGACAACCGATATAACAACAATAATAATGACAGACACAAAGACTACAACGGTTACAATGAGATTCGTCAACGAGACAATGGATTTGACGAGCGTAATTACACGTCAAAACAGAATGGCGGTAGGCGTGATCATGAGGATTACGAGTCAAGGTATAATAATGGTCGTCCGCTCAAAACCTCCGATCATGAACAATATGGTCACTACGTTGACCTGCCAGCTGGCGGTGGTCATACCCGAAATCCGTCATATGCCTCGTCTTCGAAAAGCTCCATTTACGACGATGTTCAACCACCAACCGCTCACCCATCGTATTTAGAACATTTACGACATCGGTCGAGTTTCAGCGATGTGAGTTCGATATCAACGCCGAGCAGTCCGGCAACCCCAAATGGGTTGTACGATATTGTTGAACAGAAATGGCGAACGAACAATGGATTGGATCCCAGAATTTACAAGGAACAATCGTATGCATCGTCGGTGGTGTCGAAAGCATCATCCAACTCTCCAAAATCATCGTGGCCTGTGGACGACGCGAAGGACCGATATTATCAACCGAGTGTCCTAAGCCCCTCACGTAACAAATTTTATGTGGATGATGACGAGGAGGACGAGTACTCCTCCCAATCCGATCTTCACGGGAAACGTCAATCGCATTCACTTTTGAACTCGGTGTTAAGAGATCGAGGCTTAAAGCCGTCTACGTCAACACCTCGGTCCCACAGCTCAATGCATTCCTCTCCATCCTACACACGGGATCCAAGTCCTTCGCACGATTCATATTCCAGGAAACAGCGACAACACATGATTACATCGCCTACACTCTCGCCGTCATATTCTTCAAGACCTGAGTCGCGTGCAAGTGTTAGCAGTCACGCTACCTCGATCGAAGAGGAATCCGCCTTATTGACGGATATCCTCAAAGACGCTGAAGGTCTGACAATTAAAAATTTAAGTTCACAACTGGCCATGTTCAAAAATCGAGATTTCAAATCAATTGCTCCGGGAGTCGAAAAGAAATCCCAGAGCACACCGGCCACGAGGAAAACATCTGTAGCAAGCGGTTCAACAACGTCAAAGGCGGTTTCTTCCAAGAGCACATCGTCAAAGACATCATCAAAGGCACCGTCAAAGGCACCGTCAAAGACATCGTCAAGAACTCTGACAAAAACAACAACACCAACCGCAACGCGGACACCAACGAAAGGTTTGAAGAGTAATTCCGCACCTGGTACACCGGGCGCGGGTCCAAAATCGAAGGGGTTGAATTCAAAAGGAACACCAGGTAGCCGACCAACAAATTCAATGAATACCACATCTTCGTACCGCGAGGCGTATCGGGATTACACACAGGAACGCCGGCCGACTGACTTTTCGGCGGCTCGAGAAGCTTTGAATCGAGCGAAACTGAAGGTGGATGAGATGTTAGAACTAGTTAGCAATGGTGGTATTCCATACTAAATTGGCAATAATACTAATAATTGGCAAGTCAACAATGGCAACAAAATGATGGATTTATTTTTCCATTACTAAAAAGAAAAAAAAAAAGGCAATTTTAGGGCAAAGAATTTGCGCCCATACATACAAGACAATCCCATAGATAATGATGATTTGACGAATGATACTCTTTTCTGGACCTACGTTAAAAGAGTGGAATGGAGAAGTAGACGTGATGAGAAAAAAAGAACGATCAATGTTGTTATGGTATTTTTCTTTGAACAACATCACAACAATCACCGGAGAATCAATCGCCAATCACGATTGCTCACCTCTTCCGGTCACCAAGAGAATCCAAAATGATAACCTTTTAGGGGTTTTCTTATCACCACATTACCACCGCACTCATGCAAACGTACAACATACAATATTGCGGGACAGTATTATAGTTAGCATGCTTAGTACTGTGATTATTTTTTGACACGCTCTCACGCGCATACACACGAAAATTTTAATTGAGATTAGCAAGCAGGCATATACATATATATATATACTAGGCTGAGATCATTAGACCCGTTCCCCAAGATTTTTCAGGAGATTTTTTTTGAACTCGAATTAATAGTCTTTAGGAAATAATCTACGATATACCTCATCCTATCAACACAATATTTTATGATCTTTATTTTTTTATCTATGTACAGCATTTATTGAACCATAAAAGAACAAGATATATATTTTTTTACATTCCGCCTATCACCCTTTAGCATTCACCTGTATCCTCTAATAGCATTTGCTTTTTTTCTTTGTATTTATTTATTCATTTATTTCTTTATTTGCAATCAATCAGCATTTTGCATCGCTCATCACCGTTTTTTGCATTTAAGCTTTCTTTTCGTATAACGAGTGACAATCGCTTTTTCACTCGATCCTTTCGACAAATATTACAATCACAAACACTTATTCGTATCAATTTTCCCTCGCCTTGTAATATATTTCTGATGCATTTGTATCTATACAATTCACGTTTTTTTTTTTTTTAATCATCTTGCTACCACCCAAATTTTATGATTTTTTGATTCTCACCGTTTTTACCTATTCTATATAAATATTTCTAAAGCAAACACATTCCTTTCATTATCTTAAAAACCGTATATATAGCTAACCATTCCTAAAAATGTTGATTCGAAAAAAAAATCTCCAAAAAAATCAAAGGCCTCAGTATATACAGTATATATCTATCTATATATATCTATACTAGTTTAAAGAGCATGATTCTCGAAAGAATCTTGGCATATATAATATATTAATCATTAAAAGTTATTGGACCCTAATATATTTTTCTAATAATTCCATGCCTCCTTGCCATTATTTCCTATTTCTCTTTAATTTGTAAATTGTTTCTTATTTTATACATATATACACACGTCAATTCAAATAAATAAAATAGTGACAACCGTTATCTTGTTTTACATTAATTGTATTAATTGTGCCTATTCTAATTTGTAAAGTGTGCGTTTTTTAATTGGGTAAGGTTAACTCGGATGTATACATTATAATGTAATTTTTTAATATTTGTAAATAAATAGACAGTACGAGCCGTTTTAAATTAAGTTAGCGCTCCAAGATTATCTGAAACTACAATAATATTATAGGTAAATTTTTTTATATAAATTTTGATTATCTGCATTTACAAGTAAATTAACATAAATATTTAGTCATTCATATACAATCTTATTAGATCTTTTAATTTAATATACGATTAAATTAAATTTCTCAATAGTATACCGTAACCAAAAAAATTTTTGAGTTAAAAAAAGAAAAAAAAAATTATAACGTTACAAAAATAATCTGCTTTTTATTACTGTATATATAGAAAATTGAAATAAATAATAAATGCATAAAAAATTTTAATTCAACCTCATATACATTTTTATTGTTAATTTTAAATGTTTTAATTATAATTCATGATATAATTTGAATTAATTAGTAATAAAGAGATTATATTTTATTTTACTAATAATTTTGTTGATTCAAAAAACAAATGTTTCAAAACGTTTTAATATTTTTTTATAACAAAATATACTTACTTTTTTCCGATACCGTTATTATTCAAAAACTTTGATTTTTTTTATTAAAATAAATCTTTTTATATTTTTACAAATAAACACAAGAAATTATTTATAAAATCAAAAACAAGAGCTTTGATAATATCCATATACGTATATATTAAAAAAAATATATTTATTTTTTAAAAAATTCAAGATTTCAAAAAACATAATCATTTAATTTTAAGAATTTATAATTAGGCTTTTTTCTTTTATTTTTTCAAGTATATAAAATTTTTTGATATTTTTTAAAGAATTTTATTTATTTCAATTTAATTTTTAATTTTTAATTACAGTTGATACTCTATAAATGCATACTCTCTAAATACACACTCTTCTTAAATATATAATATTTGTGGTCCCAATCTTGGAACTTAATACTTAAATATACATTTTATATTCTACATATGCAATAGATTTAACAATTCTACCAATATGAAAATAATTCTTTAAATGCATACATGTGATAGTCATATATCAAATAAAATTATAATTTTAACATAATACCATTATTCAATATATTAATATAATTATTGGCTTTTATTAAACATAATATATTATAGTAATATAGTTTTAATATCAAATAGTTATTTAAAAAGTTTTAGAATTTAATTAATGAATAAACAACAAAATTTTAAGTGGTAACTATAAGATTTAATAAAGAAAATACTTACTTCGATCAAATTGAATACCTTGTCCTAAGTAATCACTTCTTACATTTTGATAATAACTATAAGATAAAATGCTATTTGTTTACTCTCCATATTTTTACAAGAATACTTTATATATTACTCTAAAACTTTTATTCCTATATTATAAGAAATACAACTATTCATTATAAATATCATTGTAAAATTGAATGCTTTGTTACTTATTTTTATTTTTATTTTTTATTATATCTTATTCTTTGTAATAGTATAACAATTCGATGATCATCCTTACTGTACCACAATCAAAAGAATAAGAATGTTATATAAAACAATTGTGTATACTTATTCACAAGTTACTCAAAGAAAAACAATAGATGTACCTGCTGCCCACAAGTAAGAAGCCAGACTATTGAAAGAAAAAGAAATAAAGATCTAGTAAATTAAAAGATATAAGTTCGAAGAGATAATCTATAACGTTGAATAAAATGATATGATGAAATCATTAGTCATCAAAATTGAACAGATATCAAGAAGCTTGAAAAAATAAGTAAATATTTGAAGAAAAATATCTTAAAATAATACGAAAACTGCCGAGACTAACTTGTCTATTGGAATAACAAATGTAACTAAGAATAGAGCTTCATACTGATGTTTGTATAGCATTTTAAAATGCTTAAGCAATATCACCAGTGGCAAAAAGAATTAAAAATTATTAAATGATGATTGATTATCCTATGGAAATATTAGATGAGTACTTTAATATACCAATAAAGTTAATAAACAAAACTATAAAACTTACCTGTGATGAAACTCCAATGAATAAAAGTACCGGACACCAAATGAAGAAGAAAACAATGAACTAACAGATGAATCTTAAGAATTTACCTACAATAAAGCATTGTCTATACAAAAGAATATAAGCCAGTATTCAAGAAAAATTTTGGCAAATATGAATGAATACCAGAATAATGACTTGCAAAAAAAAGGCAAACCAGAAAAAGTTGATAGATTCATTATGAAAGACCTAGGAAAAAAACATTATAGGAAAGTAAGGGACCAATCTGAAGAATGTTATTATATAATGAAGCAAAAGAAAATCTTGATGAGAAGATATGCCCCAAGCCGTAATAGGAAGTTATACTAATAAATAATCATATGAGAAAGGTTAGCAAAATGAATCTAATGAATATTAAAGTAAATAAAATTTTAAAACTGATTTATAATAAGATATCAGTTGCTCAAAATAACACAAATTAGAATATAAATAACAAAAAGATAAATTATAAGCTGCAACTCATTCCAGAAAATACTGAAAGAAGTTAATTCAGAAGCTCTGAAACAAGAAAACAACATATAACTGATTTCTCAAGCATAACACTAAAAGATAATTAAGTACTGCAGACTATTGTGATCAAGAAGGATGCAATATCATGCAAAAGAAAACTATCAGCGACAAACCTAATCTTAAAGATATATTGATTATGGAATTCTCAAATTAAAAGATATTGATTATTAAAGGCAAGATGTAATAACATACCTGATGATATTACTTGCAGAGACATTAATATCACATAATGTAAAACAATCAGATTAGACCAAAAAGTCATCAACTAGAAATCAGATGTCATTAACAGCTTATTACTGGTTGTATCAAGATTTATTACAATTCTATTAAACAAATAATTCTATAAAGGAAACAAAGGAACATCAGATGAGAACTTGTACAAATAGCACTTGCAATAAGAAAAATAGGTTTAAGAGATGTTCAAACTTAAAGATTGCAGCAATAAAAGAAGGAAAGGTGTTGAAAAAAGATCATAAAACTAAAACCATATACCTAATAAAGATTATATTTACATTAATGCATAAGCATAAGTTACCTGTCATGTTTAAATCCGTCAATTGAAAAATCCTACAAAATTAATGTAAAGAAAGTAGCAAAGTTATATCAATGATACAAATTATATAAAAGTTACACTGTATCAATATCTTATCACAAGTTCAACAGAGATTATCTGCTCAATGGATTGTGAAATCAAGTACAAGCAAAAAGAAAAAGACAACTAATGAACCAATGACTCAGTGACTCATTAATAATTGGTCATCACTAAATGAAATACTATAGTCAAGATTATACATGTGTTCGTATTTAATTTAGACATTTTTCAAAAACCGTATTATGTTTGTATTACTAAGTAACAATTAGTAAATAATTGGGAATCGTATTTAATTCAGAATCGTATTGTCGATCAAATTTCCTTTTATGGTA